TCCAGCAGACTTGGTGATTGGCTATCACATGGAGATCATGCTTTGATCAGGTGTTACTAAGCATATAAAAGAAAGCTACTAGCAATTAATAAACGGAGCTTCTGCCATCTTGCTGTCTCCCGCCTCATCACTGCGCCTCCGAGTTAAGAGTATTGAGCTGGTCTCATGCTCACCACTGCAGCGGCCGCGTCAGGTAAACAATTTGATGTAGGTTATATATGTGCAATCATGTAAAACATTTCCATATTAGTAATCTTGTGAAAGAAGAAACAGACCAAAAGGAAAAAAAATACAAAAAATAAAGTGAAAATAGTATGCTTTGATCTGTATTCAGAGTCCATCAATTCTTTCTCTGGATATAGATATCATTTTCCTTCTTGAGTCCTTTGGAATTGTCTTGGATTATTGTATTTCTGAGAGAAGTCATAGTTGATTATCACATAATGTGGTTATTACTGTGTACAATGTTCTCCTGGTTCTGCTCATTTCACTTTGCATCTTTTATGTAGGTCTTTCCAGATTTTTGTGAAATCTGCCTGTTTATCATTTCTTACAGTGTAATAGTATTCCATTACATTCATATATCACAGCTTGTTCAGCTGTTCTCCAATTGATGGACTTCCCCTCGATTTCCAATTTTTTGAAGGTGGTGAATTTATAATGGCCACCTAAAGAACAGCTAGGTGGTGCAGTGGATAGAGTTCCTGGCTTAGAGTCGGGAAGCTTCATCTTCCTGAGTTCAGATCTGGCCTCAGACACTTCTTAGCTGTGTGACCCTGGGCAAGTGCCTTAACTTTGTTTGCCTCAGTTTTCTCATCTGCAAAGTGACCTGGAGAAGGAAATGGCAAACCACTCCAGTGTCTTTGCCAAGAAAACCCCCAGTGGGTCACAAAGAGTCAGACACAACTGAACTAATTGAAGAAAAAAGAACAATACTAATTTACATGGACAGGCAAATCAAAAATACTGAACTATGGTTCTGAGAGTCAACTTAGCTTATCTGGGAAGTTTTTGGAAGAACTTTTCTTTCTCTCCATTATTTATTTCAACACTTCAAAAAAGTCTGCAATTTTGTTGTTATGGATACTCCTTCCCTTAGGAAAAATTGCAACTTTCTCATACCTTAGGAAATGACTTGATGAGCTGAATAAAAGAGATTTTCTGTCACACCTAAGAAACTTTTAAGTTTTACCTTGATATTAAGGTCTTAACAGCTATGAAAGTACCAACTCTGGTAAGTCCTATGATATTGAGCACATGTCTGGTTATGGGTGGCATGATCTTGTCTATTGACCAGCCTAGCTAAATTGACCAAAAGGTGATGAATTCTTTTTGTCCATATCTTCTCTTGGAGATGGTCTCCTAAAGTGTAAGATAACCTGGGCTGAACACTGTGGAATCAAACACCAATTCTAAGAAAGCCTATACCTGTTCTAAGTCAGTGAAGTAAGGATATGGAACAGTCAAGGAATGGGGTCTAAGGCTACATATAATCAAAGGAAATAAAGGAAAGGGTTGGTGTCTGAGACCTGCTTTAGTTAAAAGGGTATTCATACCAATGAAATCACAGGTATTTTAAAATATTGAATTATTTTGAAGCCTTCCCAACAACTGATTCTTACCATCTTCCCTGCATTTGTACCCTATGGATCTCCAGATCTTTTTCATCTTCCCTGCAGCTTAACCTTACTTATATGTGTTGTCTTTCCCTATTGTAATGTGGGCTCCTTGAGAGCAGAAACTACTGTTGGGGGGGGGGGAGGTTCCTATTGTACCTAAAAAGACTTTTTCATTCATATAACTGTTGAAGACTGGTAATAGCAACATAATATACACTAATGCAATATGTTACTGTCTTAATAGTAATGCATTTTCTCTCCTTTCTCCTCAACATTTGCAGAATTTCCAATGTCCTGCTTTGCAATATTACAAAACGTGTGTCATTCTGGTTTGTAGTTACAGACCCTTCTAAAAATCAGACGCTTCCTGCAAGTGAGGTGCAGGAAGCTATAAGGTAATTGTCACTCCATTTTATTCTCTTTTAAACCTATTTTGTCTTTGATGAACAAACATGTTAATTTATCTAAAAGCTATTTATATAGATGCCAAATAAGTCTATTCTGTTTTTCCTCCCTTATTTAAGTGCATCAAGATATCAAGAATTGCATCCTGTTACTATAGCTGCTAGACATGACCTTCTGAAATGCTCTCCATATCTTTTTTTTAAGGCATGATATAATCTATTAAGAAACAGCACCTTTGATTTTATAAAATAAATAAATGAATAAACAAATAACTCCTACAACACTAAATTAAAACGAACAATATAACCAGGTACTTAGCAACCACATAGTTAAATCACATACAACTTAAGGGATAACAGAGTAATAGCTAAAGAAATAAGAAGTAAGGTTATAGAACAAAGAACTTCTGTAAAGCACATGTTGTTGTTGTTGTTTCTCCTTTGTTTTCAAAGAGGGCTACAGGTGATGTCTTGACTTGTATGTGAATTGGATTCAAGTGAGACAGAGTTGTGCAAAGTCGTCACTGTCACTCTCTCTTCCTGAGTCATGATAAGACCATCCATGCATGACCAACTAATGAAGGGAATTTTTTTTGTCCTGATTTATGAGTTTATTAGTGTATGGTACTTCTACCATAGGAACTCCCCCAACTAATTTGTCAACTATTTGTAACAATAAGTAGGTAAATAGCACAGCGGATAGAGTACGGTCAGAAGACTTGAGTTCAAATTTGAACGCAGAAACTTACTAGCAGTAAGTGGGCAAGCCACCTAACCTTTTTTGCCTTAGTTTCCTTATCTATAAAATGAGCTGGAGAAGGAAATGGCAAACCATTCCAGTCTCTCTCCTAAGAAAATCTAAATGGAGTCACAGAGAGTTGGACACATGTGAAAAACAACTGAAAATATTAGAGTTTTATTTTACTTTCTCATCATGTCATTTAATAAAAAGCATTTACTTCATATTGACATATTTAATATTTCTGGCAATATTTTTTGGGTCCCCAACTTTTGACATTCATCTTCTGTATGAATTCTTACTCCATAGTGTACACTGTATACTGTGGTATCCCAAAGTATTCACTTTTTGAATTTAAATTTAACGAAAGTATTTTGTGTATAGCACTGCTGTGGCTGGGTCATCTGACTGGTAGAGACAATTTAGGATTACTCATTTCAGGGTTTTTGGTTTGGGTCACAAAGGGATAATTGCTGTGGGAAAGATAAGAAGGCGACAAGAGCGTAGTAAGATAACCTGGGCTGGACACTGTGGAGTCAAGCACCAATTCTAAGAAAGCCTATACCTGTTCTAAGTCAGTGAAGTAAGGATATGGAACAGTCAAGGAATGGGGTCTAAGGCTACATAGAATCAAAGATATAGAGTTAGAAAGCACCTTAGGTCATCAAGCCAACCCTATTATTTTATAGAAGAGAATAGTGAGGTCCAGAGAGATTAAGTGACTTTCCCATATTTCATAGGCAGTAAGCAGAAGAGCAAGGATTTGAACTCAGGATCTCTGTCTCTCAATCTTACACCATTTCCATTTTAGCATGTTAATATAGCAAAGTTCTCAGGAACCTACTAAAGATGCATCATCTGTTAATAAAAATAATAGCTAATATTTATATAGTGCTTATGATGGGCCAGGTTCTGTGGTAAGCACTTTACAATTATTCTATCATTTGAGCCTCACAACAACCTTGGAGGTAGGTGTTATTATTATCTCCATGATTAATCATATATCCAGTAAGTTTCTGAGGTCAGATTTAAATTCAGAATTTCCTGATTCCAGACCTAGCTCTCCATCTACCACCTAGCTGCTCTAGCTTTTAAAAGCTATAGTAGCTTAGTGTTATCTGTTTAACCCACTAGTTAACTAGACTTGTCTGTGTGGAGATAAAGAGTCCTTCATCATTTCAGTCTGGATTCCTTCTTAATGCTGTCTTCTCTAGATAGATAGCAAAGCCTCCAAAAGAATTCTAGATTATATGGTTAATCTACAAGGGTTTGGCAAAGGTTTTGGCTAGAGAGAACTTGACTAGTATGCCCTAAATTACAACAAAATACCAGACTACCTTATTCACATTTAATCAATTAAAAATTGCATTTTATTACTAATGTAGCATTTCTCTTAGGCTGCTTTCCCAGAGATTGACTACCACGTTGTTGGTTCAAGGGGTAATTATTATGGAATTATATTCCTATTATAATTTTTTTGTTGTTCCGTTGTTTTAGTCATATCTGACTCTTCTTGAGTCCATTTGGGGTTTTCTTGGAAAAGATACTTAAGTGGTTTGCCATTTCCTTCTCCAGCTTATTTTACAGATGAGGAAACTGAGGCAAACAGGGTTAAGTGACTTGCCCAGGGTCACACAACTAGGAAGTGTCTGAGGTCATATCTGAACTCAGGAAGATGAATTTTCCTGACTCCAGGCCAGGCACTGTATCCACCGTGCCCATCTATTATAATAGTTCATATCATAAGAGGATATTATATTAGGGCTTCCTCTCTCTCCCCCTCACTGCTTCCTATTAGCAATCAGCCAATAGGTCCAGTGAGCTTTTAGCAAAGGCATATACTCGAATGACAGAAACAGAAGTAGTTACAAACATCCCCACTCCCTCAAAGCTGGGATACAGTCTCCCACAAATACACATAGCATCCATGGGATGTCATGAGACATAAATATAAGACGTGTAATCTTGTAAGATACAACTCTTGGTGCTATAGTGTCTGGAAGTTCTTTCTCTCTTTTGTAGAGTCTTCACCATAGGTTCCTGGGGTTCCTGGGTCTGTCCCTCTCTCTAATGTGACTTTCTTCTCTGCTGCCAGGGGTCACACTCTGAAGGTGTTTCCTCCTTGGGTACCTGTCTCTCTGTATCCATGGCTGTCTGGAATATGTCTCTCTGCTCAGTTCTGAGTGCAATATCTTCTACTGGTCTAGTAGCTTCCCTTCAAAGCTATGTGGTCCATATTGGGGGAAGTGGAGAGGGTTAGTCAGTTAGCAGCAAGTTAGTCAACAAGCATTTATTAAGCACTTACTGTGTGCCAGGCAGTGTTAATTTCTGGGAATACAAATATGAGCAAAAAAAAAAAAAAAGACAGTCTCTGTTCTCAAGGAGCTTAGGGAAGCCAACACAAAATGGAGCTGACAGGAGGAGAGAAAGGAAAAGGAGAAGGAAGAGAATACATATTTGGTGCCAGGGCATGATGGAGAAGTCCAGAAAAGTGCAGTCTGGTGGGAAATGATCTAAGTGGTATACTGCACTGTGTTTTGCTCATGTAGGTTATTTGCTGGGTTGTATAGCAGTATCTTTAGACTCTCCTCCCCCAACCCTTCTCCAAAGGAGACTGATTCCTGCCAGGAGAGGAAGTAGGAGATTGAGATCTGAGGCTGGCCACTCAGTTCTCCTCAGAGAGATGGGGGACTGGCCAGGACAAGATTTATCTCCTTTAGGGTAGTGGTAGGCAAACTCTAGCAAAAGAGCCAGAACCAGCCCACCTCCTGTATTTATAGAACCAGCAAGTTATAAATGTTTTAAAATACTAGCCATAGCTTGCCGACTCCTGGTTGTGAGGAAATACGTTTTAGGTTCAAGGGGGAGAAAAGAGAAATTACCTGCTTCTTCCCACCCCCTCCTCCGAACTCTGTCTCCCCAGGCAGCTCCAGGAATGTAATCTCTTCCAATCTGAAACTTTTGAAATTTGTCCAGGGCTTAGCTATTTAAAGTCTCCACCAGGGTAACTAATTTGTTTGCACAGCTAATCCTGCCGTTTCCTTCTTGACTCCATCAGAGAAGCAATTCCACTTCACAAAGGGATCCCATTAATACTTCATCATGTGCAACTGCATTCTATATCTCCATCAACTGAACTAGAGGGGAGGGTTCACATACCCTCTTCGTTACATGAAAATAATAAAAAATCAAATCATTTGTTACTGACCACTCTAAGTAGGATTCATTTTCAAGTACCTTGTGGTCAATTAAATTGGACAAATGTAACTTGGAGAACTAATCGAATGCTCCATTGGTTTGCTGCTTCACAACAAACTATAACAGATCTATAAAGACTAAGAGTAATGAGAAATTAAAGCAATCTGAATGATGTACTACTCCTTTATTTTCTAAAATCTGCTTTTGAATGAAAAAGAAACACATATTTGGACCTGAATTATTGACTAAGTAAGTATTTTGAAAGGTTCATTAACTCATCCTCTTAATTTTATGCTAGAAACACAAATTTATGCAGCTCTTTAAAAATATAATCATTTCCTTGAAGTCAGGAATTGTTTTTGCATTTTTTCTCCTATCCCCAACATTTGGTGGAGTGCCTACCACTTTATTGTTGTGCAGTTGTTTCAGTTGTATCTGACTCTTCTTGGTAAAAAATATTGGAGTGGTTTGCTGTTTCCTTCTGCAATTCATTTTATAGATGAGGAAACTGAGGCAAACAGAGTTAAGTGACTTGTCCAGGGTCATACGGCTAGTGTCTGAGGCCAGATTTAAACTCGGGAAAATGAGTCAGAAATTCCTGACTCCAGGCCAGATACTCTATCGAGTATACCACCTAGCTGATCTACACTTATGAAGTGCTTAATAAATGTTTATTGACTATTGATTGAATTCTAGGGTACAGCTGTAGCTACTGCTGCATGTTGTTTCACGATAACATTGCTAATAGGTTATAATAAAATCTCACCAAAATTTTTCTTCTATGTTGTTCTGGATGGCTACTGTGTCTTCTACCTACATTTTCCACCACACACACTTCATTTTCACTCTTCCTTCTCCTCCCACTCTCTACCTTCTCTTCTTATTTTTAAGCTTTCATAAGTATAAAATGTGAATCTCAGAACTGTATCTCCCTGAACTCATGCTTTTTCTGGATTCAATTAATGATGTTAGGTTGGGTATGCCTATTGTCACATTAAGGATGATCCATCAGCTAAGTATCTTGATTTCAACTACTTGTCTTTTTTTTCCATAGTGCTTTGTTAACATAAGCAGAATATTTAATCTAGCCCGGCAGAATGTAGAGGAGAAAGGATTTTAAGCTGAAACAGCCAAGGGAAGATATGAAATAGAGTTTTAAAGGGAAAGACTGTTTAAGCTGAAGTTTGATGTTTGGTTTTGAGGTGATATAATCCATTCCTTCTAGGAAAAATTTGAACAGTTAAGTAGGATGAGAAAGTTAGACAAGTTTTCATTTTTGCTTGTCATACTTATACAGTGAGCTTTACTGTTGTCTTGGAAATATCAGTTCCCCCGCAGAGTCATCCATACTTGAATATGATATAGAAACATTCCAAAATGAAGTAGAAATTTTTTAAAATTATCCGTGTTTTAGAGTATTTGGATGATGACTCATCTCCATATTGAATAGTAATTTAGAGTTGATTTAGAATGGATTCTCACTTATGTAAGAGTCTTCCCCTAAATCAGGAGACTTTTCAGTCAGTTTCCACCTGTAAGCAGATGGGTTAGATACTTTTGTAATGGATGTATCTCCTGTTCTCTCAAAAACCACCTGCATTCAGCTTGCTGAAGCTTAAAAAATTGCATTCTTCTGCCTAATGTTCAATGGGATTGTTGAAGTCTTAAAATGCAAGTATACCTGGGAAATACAACACCTTAATACATTTCTTCCTCAGAGAGAATGACTTGACTAGACTGTTGCTGGGCAGCAGCCTAGACAATTTGTGATAGAGCAAAGTGGAAGGGCTATTACCAAAGATAGAGAATATAGAGAGGGTAGGCAAATGTATCTCCATCACAATTGTTCTGAGGACCGGCCCTGCTGTCCATTCAGTGATTCTATGGTATACCAATTTGGAGAAGCTCAAGTAACTTAATTTGCCCCAGAGACATTTAACAATTTGAAAATATAAACACAATTTGAAATTTTATTTCATACCACAGAGGGCAGCAGCACCAAGGTCAGCTGCCCCACGGGCTTCTAACAGCCCCCAAACCCATCCAAGAAACCTAAAGCATGCCAGGGATTCAGTGAACATTCAGAGGGAGAGAAAGGCATTATATATACTGTGCAGTTCTCTTTATGAAATCATTTATAATGCACTGGTTTTTAATTTTTATTGTTGCTTTTGCCCCGTTTAGGATGAACAGAAACAGGATCAACAACGCTTTCTTTTTAAATGACCAGACATTGGAATTTCTAGAAATTCCCACCACCCTTGGACCCCCCACTGAGCCATCAACCCCTATCTGGATAATCATATTTGGTGTAGTATTTTCCCTTGTCGTAGTTGGAATTGTATTACTGATTATGTCAGGAATCCATAAACAGAGAAGGTAAGAAACTCAGTATATTACCTGAAGTGAGTTAATTAAGAGATGGGTCATTTTATTTTGCTCTATCCATATAATTTAAAAAATAGATGGGTATTTCCCAAGGTGGAGGTAGCCTTGGCTAAGAGGTAAAACCTGTAGAAAATTGGTGATACTGAAATAATTATAATACGGTTTCTAGTAACAAAGAATGCAAAAGCCATTTTCAAAAGAGTTTCTGCCCTTACTCCATGTCCTAGTTATGAGAACACCTGGGGTGTTCAGGGAGGGCTGGCACTTCCAGTGTTAAGGTTTGCTGAGCCCTTTTCAGGGCTGCCCATCTTCTTTTGGTGTCTACCTTCACCCAACTCTCACCTGTGGCTCCAAGAAGCTGTGGTACAGGAGCAGTCACACCCCAGTAAAACTGTCTTAGCATACAGTCTGAATGAGGATGAGGGTAACCGACAAGCCTCAAACCTGTCTGTAGGGGGACATCTACCCCAAGCATATGAATACTTCCCCTGGTGGAATGGGTGGATGAGAACAATTTGTTCCAAAGTCCATGAAGGAAGTTGATATCAGTCAGACACTGAAGATGCTGAAGTCATCCACTGCATCCCAGGCCTTTACCAGTCATCTTGACTTTTGTCCTGCCACCGAATTTTGATGACTCAGGAAGAGAAAGTGAAGCTGATGACTTTGCACAACTCTGCCTCACTTAAATCCAATTCACTGGCAAGTAAAGATATCAGCTGTGATGTCATTGGTCCTCTTTGAAAACGAAGGGTGAACAACAACGGTCTATAAAGTTATCTTCAGGATTTTTGAGGGACATAAAAGTTGTAACTTACAATGTTATCATATAAACCAGGAAAATAGGGACCATTACCAGGTGTGAGAGTGGGACGTGGGGAGTATATACTAGTGGGAATGGGAGCAGGGAAATGATATGTTAGTGGGAATAGAAGGGTGGAATTATACAGTGGGAGAGGAAAGAGGGAGAAACACACAGATATCTTCTTCATCTGACCCTTTATGTGAGTTTGTGTAACCCACCCAAGCTTAGAATTTCTGCGCTGGCAAAAGGGGAAATATGTCTGATCTTTCTGTTCATGGGAGATCCCTGGTAGGCTGGTCTCTTGGTAGCTGTGTGGAAAGAGTCAGGACCCTGGTCTGAAATGGTCAGATTATAGGGATTCTTACATGCACAAAGTCATCAATGTCCTCATCCCACTCTGAATGTCTTCCCTGGATGCCCTGTCACCTAGAAATCTTCTAGGCCCACTGCCCTCAAGCTGTTCCCTTGGCACCAAAAGTTATTGTCTACTCCTTTGTCTGTCTCTCCTCTGGAACTTATTTTTCCTATAGGGTCCATGTAGATATGATACTTGTGGACTGGGTGTCAGTCAAAGGAGCCCAATTAACCTACTCTGGAGACATTGTTATCAGTACCCATCAACCTTTAAAACAGAGGTTCTTAACCTTTTTGGGAGTGATGGACCCCTCTCAGAATAATGTTTTAAATACATAAAATAAAGTATAAAGGATTACAAAGGAAACAATTATATTTAAATAGTTATCCAATATATATGTAAATATATGATGTATATACCAATTTCTTAACCCTAGGTTAAGAATCTCTACATTAAAATCTGACTACTTCAGACCAATTTCCTGACCCTTTCCACCCAACTACCAATAGACCAGACTAGCTGCGATCTCCCATGAATACAAACATCAGATAGATCTCCCCTGTGCCCCTGAGGGGATCACACAAATTCATACAAAGGGTCAGGGGAGGAAGGGATCTGTGTGTTTCTCCCCATTCCCACTCTGACTAGTGGGTAATTAATTAACCTGGAGGGAACAGAGAAACCCAGGGAGTGTGAAGGGCAGCTAGGTGGAGCAGTGGATAGAGCCCTGGGCCTGGAATCAGGAAGACCTGAGTTCAAATCTGAACTCAGACACTTATTAACTGTGTCACTTAACCCTGTTTGCCTCAGTTCCTCATCTGTAATATGAACTGGAGAAGGAAACAGCAAACCACTCTAGTATCTTTGCCAAGAAATGGGGTCACAAAGAATCAGATGTGACTGAAACAACTGAAAGGGGAGAGAGAAAGTGATTCACCTGGTAAGCCTGAGGTCAGACACAGCCAGTGCTTTACGGAGGCAATAGGACAATTCTAAGGACTATATTAGAGTCTGACAGTGTTAGAAAAATGTGGGAAGGGGGGGCAGTGATGGCATAGAAATTCTTCAGAATGGAAAGCATTCTTTCCATAAAGGGCATGAAAGAGCCTGGCTGAAAATTTATCTTAGCAATGAATCAAGCTAGTCATCCTTTTATGATAATGGCATGCTAGTCATAATCCCTCCTTTCTCAGCTGTGGGCTTTGGAAGGATCACTGACACTTCCCTGTCTGTCAAATTACACTGAGTCTCCTTTCCAGAGTAAGCTGGAGTGATGCACGGGAAGTTGGACACTGGGAAGAGGAAAGATTATGAGCTGATAACCTAACAGTTCACTGATGCTGTTTGAAATGGACCTAGTCTAACGGTTTCTAGGTGGGGGAAGCGGCCACTGGACAGCATTAATCCAGGTGTATGATACGCAAGACTGTGTCCAGGCTATTGGGTGTTTTTTGCGTTGCTCCCCAGATTGCAACTTCCTAGCACCAACTGTGGGGCTGTGTAACAGCTGGCACCTGATGATTGGTGGCGGTTTAAGTCTGTTTATATGCTACAGCACATGCCCCCTCGAGCTCCATTTTCTGCTTGAATGTTGCCTCTGTTGTCAGCAATTCAAACCTTGGACTATTGACAGAGGAGGACTGGCAGGACTGCAATGGAGTGTGTGGGGTCATTGGCTTCTCGGGGATTCCCAGATGCTGACTATATATCTATCCTACCCTATGCCATCTCAGTTCCTTAGATGTTTACGTGCCCCAGAGCTATTTCTGGGTTTTCATTGGTACACAACCCACAGATGGGGTGCTAAAGAGTGAAATCTTAGGAAATGAGATTAAATATTGGCATCAAATTTGTTTTTAAATTTAAAATATTCTCTTCCAAAGCCCACATCTGGCATTCCACACATTTGGAAAGTGGATGGTTGAATGCACCATAGAGCATAGATTGTAAAACATTAGAGCTAAAAAAAGATCTTAGAGAATATTTTACCCAACCCTTTCATTTTAGGGATGATAAAACTGAGGATCAGAGAGAGAAAGCAACTTGCCCAATATCACACAGCAAATTAGTGACTGAACTAAGACTAGAAACAGTATACACCAGTTTAATGTATCTCTAATTTCCAGATGATCTTTAGTACTCAGCTATATGGTGCATATTATAAGCAGGGAACATCTGTGTTTTTAGCCAATATTGAACTTTTTCATTGCTTTCTCAATTGATAAATTTCAAAAAATGAAATTAGTGTGACTTGCCTAGTTTCAGAATAAAAATCCAAAATAACAGCATGAAATGAATTTCATTGGTGTTTTTAGTGACTGTGGTCACTAAATAGCATAGTGCAGGAATTTATTTAATGAATAATGTTCAAGTAAACAACAAATTCCATGTGCAGGCTTTAGGAAGAATATGCCATTTAGGAAAAGAAAAATCAGATTGGCTGAATGGAGTTTCCGGAATGTGATTGCCGGGATGATTAAGATCTTCATATACTGGGGACACTAGCAAGCCAAGGTATTTGAATTCAGAAACAAAGATAGTCTTTGGCAAGAAATTACAGAATTTTTAAAAATTCATTACTTTGAGTCCAACAAGAGTCAAATTAGCAGCTGAAGGAATTTAATGGCTAATACTTTTTTCACATTAAATAATAATAGCTTCCTAAGGATTTTCCTCATTGTTGTTGTGGTTTGTCTTTCATTCTTGAAGAGGACCATGACATCTGGAAGATGATGCCATGAGTGAATTGGATTTGAGGGAGGGAGGGCTGTGCGAAGCCACCAGCCTCACTTTCTCCTCCAGAGCCATCCAGATCCAGTGGCAAGATATAGATCAGGACGAATGGAGATGGATCAGGATGCAATGAGAGACCTTGGCCTTTTTAAGCTAAGGTCTTTCTGAATTCTCATTTTGACTTAGGCAACACCCATTCAGTGATTAGGGCTGTTTAAATGAGTCAAGGGATGGCCCTTTTAATCCACTCTCTCCAAAAAAGACAAAAACAAAACAAAAAAAAAAAATACTGGGAGGGGAAGACCTTCAGGATTTCTGGCCAAGAGAGAAATAATTACTATTTACATTCACTCTAAACCATCAGGGCCCAAAAAAATAACCATTAAGTGGTTCTTGGGCAGAGATCTATTGTTGATCAATCAATGAAAGCCAGAGTGAATTAGGTTTAAGGCATGGTCTTTAAGAAGCAAATCTAACCAGTAAACCCAGAGAAATCAAGGTAGGTTTTAGCCATCAAAAATCATCCTCCTTAGGGGGCAGCTAGGTGGCTCAGTGGATAGAGAACCGG